CCTTAAGACTCTGTGAAGTACTTTATCAGTCACGGTTTAGTGAGGAAGATGGAGATTCCACCAGGCCATTTCATGGATTTTAATGAAGGAGAGAACAGTAGTTTCAAAGGTTTTTAAAAGAACAATTGGAAGGCAGATGGATTGGGGAGGCAACACAGAGATAGACAACAGCAAGAGTCATCTATGAATCCTAGGAGAGGAATGTGGAAGTGTTACCAGACTCCAGGACAGCCAATAGGAGTGACTGTCATTGCTGGGAAGAAAGTGAGAGCTGGAATTATGAAGAGAAAAGGGTTGTCTGGAGTGGTCTGGACCCCAGTCACTGCTAGAGATGCTGCCTCACTCAGAAAGAGGTCAGCAGAGTCTGTCATCTGCTTCCTGCTCTTCAGTCTCTGAATAGAGTTTCATATTTAGACAGAGGCTAATTGGGAAAGGATCATGAGAACAGATCAGAGGGTAAGCAGACAAGTAAACTGGCAGAAACAATTAAAAGGCAGCAAGTCAGGTAATCTTTAAATATTTTTTTTGTTAGGGTCTAGCAGGTGATGTGGTGGTTAAGGCGTTGACACTCCCCACACGACCAACCGTGGTTCAAGTCCTGGATCTGGTGGCTTGCTTTTGCACTTTCCCTCTCTCTCTCTCTCATTCTCTCCCTCTCTGTGTGTCTCGCCCTGATCAAATTAAGAAAGTAATAATAAATAAATAAAATTAAATAATTCTTTAAAAAAATTTTTTTTTGTTATTTACATTCCAGAGTCCATGGATTCTCTGAGATGTTCCTGACATCTGTAGTGATGATATTATTCTAAGGTCTTAACTGGTAGTTCTTCCTTGGAGTCAATAAACTCTACTGTTCTAGTATGTTAGGATAGTACCTACTCATATCTTCACCTCCTTCCCAGAGCCTAGAGCATTTCATCAAAGTCCTGTTTCTGATAGACTTTTGGCCTTTTAAAGTCAGGAATATTATCTTAGTCATCTCTTTTTTTGTCTGCATTGCCAAGGGCATTTGGGATTGTGGTCCCTAACACAAACCCGGGGAACCAGCTCTCTTACCAATCTATCTATACTGTTGAACAGAGAATCTCTGCTGTTTTACAGTACCTTGTGATCTTGGGCAAGTGATTAACTTCATCCTGAGTTTCCTAATTTGTAAAATGAGATTATTGATCAGGATAGACCAGGTTGTACAATAGTAAAAAAATAATTCCTAAATTTCAGTGGCTAAATATTCATAGAGGCCACATAGTGGTACAGCAATAAAATGTGATACTCTGTGAGGCTGATTCAAATGGAAAAGTTACTGGTTCAAGTCTAGAGACTTCTGTGAGTACGCTGGATACATGTTTGCCCACGATCCACTGCTGGCTGAAGACTGGGAGTGGATTATGGCAGTAGGACCCTATTGGGGGGTGCTCTTCTCTGTCTCTTTCTGTCATTCTCACTCATAAAAGAAACAGATAAATAAACTTGAAAAGAAATCCACAAAGGATTACTTTTCACTACACATTTGTGAGTTACCTGGGATATATTCATATTTACTCTGGCTTCTGGCTGATTGATCAACTATCATTTTGAATATTTTCAATTCTTGTGTCAGGAGAAAGAGAGAACATGGATGATGTGGCGGTGAAATACTAACATATATACTCAAAGTTGTCGAGTGGAACTAGTTATATAGTGTGATATTATGTCTTAAGAATATGTGTATTTAGGGGCCGGCCCAAGGCTTGGTGGTTAAGGGAGCTGAATTTCACATGGCTGACTGAGTAGTCAAGTCTCAGACTTGACAGCTTGAAAAACACACCAGGCACGTGTGTGCACATGCTTCAAAAGGATGGAGAAAGGGAAGGGGAGGGATTGTGATGTGACCATACTTCATGGAGGATGATGACCTAGCTGCTACGGCCCATGCCATGGGGTGGGGAACCATTGGATAAAACTTGAGCCATATGAGAAGGCCAGGGTCTTGGACCCCAAGTAGACCTGAGCACACAGAACACACTTGTATTCTTGGCTGGCTGGAAGGTTGAGGGGAGGATTATGTTGTGTTGACCCTAAAAGAAATTAAGTTAACTTTGGAAAAAGTAATAGTGGATGAAACTGTTATTGTTATTACTATTCAGCATTTTATATTGTATTTCCAGCATAGTTTACACCACTTGCTTCACAAACTTCTTGTTACCCCCCTCCCCCAAAGTAAGCTCAAGTTGTTCTCTAGATTTATCTCAAATTCCTAATGAATGGAGTTGAGTTAGTGAAGTTTTAAAGACAGTTAGAGATCCTACTCTTGCAAGTTTGTTAATGGACAAAAATAGGTGATTATTCTGTAAGAGGATCATCACTTTGTGTAGCTTGAATATTGGAATAATTGTAGAACTATGTTCAGTGTCTTGGTTTTCAATTTAAGAGCAACAGACTTTAAACTGGCTTGCATTTGAGTCAATGTAGAAACAGTCAATATGTATTATATGTCTATGAAGCTGGTCTCTGGATCAATTGCAATTAGTTTGCAGCAGATTGCATTAACATATCTAAACTTAATACAGCAAGTGTTCTGATGAAAAGGAATTGACCATGACCACTCTGCGGACTATTTTTAGTCTCCCTCAAATGCTCTCTTTAAACTGTATTTTTTCTTCTTTAGTTAATGGCTGTAAATTGGCACATCAACATATGCTTACTCTATTGATCCTTCCCATTTGTCTTAAAAGCAGTCCCAGATAACGGCACATATCTAACTGATTAATGTTTTCTTTCATTTAAGAGGCTTTTACTAAATGCCTTTAACTTGCATTTTTCTTGGTATGTTATATGGCTCACTATTAAGACCTTTGAACCTACTAGTATGTTCATTAATGACATTTTGTGTGTGTTTTTTTAATTACTACTATTTCATCAAGACTTAAAAGTCAAAAGATTAACAAGTGATATACAGTTAGCAAAATTATATATAGTAAGTGATATAAGTATTGCTCATCAAGCTATTAGTTTTTTCCTCAGGGTTATTTATTTTAAAGAAGTGTAGGCAACTTTGATGTTAAAGCATGATTACCAATATTTGTAAAGATGGGAGAGATCTTGAGACTTTACCATGACAACATTTGAATTTTGTGCAGGTGTATAAAAGTTACATTATGTTTATTTCAGTTTTTAAGGACTAACTTGTACTTTTCATTTTCAGACATAGTTTCTGAGAATGAAAAACCATCTGTATCAGGAGACAAAATAATTTATTCATTTGGCCATCTAACTGGTACTGCCTTTTGAGTGTCTTCCGTATACCAGTACTGCCACATTGTTCATAAAAACAGAAAGAAATTTAAGACACACTGTCCTTGAGTAAAACCCAGTCTGGTTGTAAGATTCTGGAGTCTCTTTGGACTCTCTCCTTGAGTGCATTATAGCATGGAGATTCCTGGAGAAAATACTGTTTTAAGGACATGTTAAAGGTGCTCAGAGCTAATGGCTTCATGTGCAAAGCCCTATGGACCGTGCTTTTATTATTAATGTGACACAGTGTGACATCCAACAAAACCATAGAAGCCTCCAGGGGTCGTATCAGGTGACCTTATACATACCACCAGGCTTACAATCCAGTTGTGTGATTGATGTTTTGTTTTGTTTGTGCATTAATTGTATCGTCATCATGCATCTTGTGAGTAGTGGTTCCTTTGTGCTGTGTCTCATGGGATGGAAAGGAGCTTCCATCCATGGACTGTGGGTTTGTGTCCCAAGGTTTCTCTGTTATACAAGAGGGAGTATCACAGCACCAAGACCTTTTGGGTTAATCTGCCTGCCTTGCTCTCTCTCCCCTCTCTCCTTCTGTCACATTTAAAAAAAAAAAAGGGAATAAACTTTAAAATGGACCATCTGAGTTTGGTAGGGAATCAGATAAAACGAAAAGAATATTTATTTGTTCATATTATCCTGCCCTTTGGCCATTTTCTTTCAATATAAATAAAAACTAATAGATAGTGCATATATTGGAAAACCATATATCTTTTAAACTTGTTAAGTTTAATACATAAGTTGCAGTTTAGAAACTTGTTTCATTTATGGTGAATCCTTTGTTACTGGTCAAATCTCGATGCTTGAAAAAAGATCATCTCTGTTAGCATAGTGATTGTACCCTGGCAAAAACTGCAGTAAAGGAATGGATTAGTGTGTGACCCAGTGAGTTCAGAAAGTTAAAAAAAAAACCTTTTTTCCAGAAGTAACTTACCACAATTAATGATGTACATATAGTTATTAAAATAATACAGTGCTTTTTGTTTATTTTGGGTAGTGGTCTATCAAGGCGTATGCTATATATTAGAGTCCTTAATATTCTTTATTGCCAGAGACTGTGTATACTTGCCAGAGAAGGTGAGATTGAGAGAGAAAGCACCCCTCAGGGGGGTGTGGTCTCACCACAACCCATTTTCTCTGTTTCTCCTTCGTGTCACAAATTTGGGTTTGCACACATACAGCCCTGGCATGTTTGTTTAGGGAGATTTGAACTATGGTCAGCCATGTGGGATCCAGCTACCTACATAGAGAGCTTAACCACTGTGCTATAGGGCTGGCTCAAATCCTTAATGTTTTTAAAATAACTTTTTATTTAGAAATATTTATAAAGCTACAGGAAATCGCAGAAGTAGTGTAATGGTTCCATGTACCCCTCATCCAGCATCCCTGAATGTTGATGATGCCTTATGTAGTTGTAGTACAATATCAAAATCAAGCAACTGACATTATTATGATGTTCTCATTTGGACAGCAGACCTTATTTAATTTTCACCAAATTTTGAAACCTGCATTCATTTTTGTGTATATAGGTATTCTTAACATTTTTTATTAAAAATAATTTAAGCATGAAGAATTTACATAGAATTTCTTTTGTCTCTTAATTCGTTGTTGCCAATTGCCAGTTGACAGTACCTATAAGATGGCCACACAGCTTGAGTGTTATTTCTCTTGTTACTGATAAATGCTCTTCTCTTTCTCAATTTCTCTAGGCAGTTCAGTTAACCTCTAGAAGATGGCTGAACCTGCAGGAATACCAAAGCAAGAAGTTGATGTCTGACAATGGAGTGAGAGTTCAAAGATTCTTCGTCGTAGACACTGCGAATGAAGCGCTGGAGGCTGCCAAGAGACTAAGTAAGCTAATGCATAATGGGTGAAATACACATGCTCAGATCAGTGAATTCACAGGCAGTGTGGTTTTACACCATAGGTTTAGTACCCCTTATTTAAAATCCTAAAGACCAGATGTGTTTCAGATATCAAATATTTTTTGGATTTGGATTATTTGCATATACAAAGTGAAATATTTTTGGGATGAGCCCCAAGTCTAAGCACAAAATTTATTTCTATTTTATATACACCTTATATGCATACCCTGAAGGTAATTTTATACCATGTTTTTAATAATTTTGTGCATTGAACCCTAATCAGAGGTATATCATAGGGAGAGGAATTTTCCGCTTGCAAGGTCATGTTAGAGTTCAACAAGTTTCAGACTTTTGGAGCATTTAGGATTTCAGATTTGAGTTATAAACACTTAACCTGTTCCTTATTGTAGGTTACACAAACAGCCAGATACAGGTGATAACTCTGAATTGCAATAGCTAATAAGTTCAGTTAAGAAAACTTGATTCTTTTTCCTGAAATAGCAGTGTCTGAGATACCACTCCATGACAATTTTTCTGAACTTTTGTCACCCTTCCACCTACTTCTCTCAGTGTTTTAGTGACTGGGAGAGAGATGGTTGAAGGATGTGGAGAAGCCATTGCATGGGGAGCAAGGCAAGTTGGTTGGCATCCTTCTACAAGCCTTTTTATGACCTGGAGAGAGCTCCCTCTAAATGCCCACAGGAGAGTAGGGGGAGGGTCATGCCTTTCAAGTCCAGCTGACTTTGTTTCAAGGGTTACCCTCCCATTTACCAGCTCTTTACTTGTTTAAGTACCTTCTCCTTCTTGTACCTTAGTTTCCTTATCTACAGATTAAAGCTAATAGTATCTATGTCCGAATGCCATTTTAAGTCCTTAAGAGAGATTGTACATTGTTATGTGGTAAAAGTTCTAACTAGTTTCCCTAGTGATATATTGAGAGATTAGGAATCAGGTCCTGTTGTGTGTTTTTCAGTAAACATTCCTTCTGGTGGTGTACAAACTCTCTTATTAACAGTCTGGATTACTACTGTCCAATAGAAATATATTATGGGCCAACCAAGTGTTTTAAAATTTTTTAAGTCACATGATGAGAAGGAAAAAGAAATGGGCGAAATTAACTTTAATAATACATTTTATTTATTTACCCCAGTACATCAGAAACATCATTTCAACATATAACTCATAAAAAATAGTCAATGAAATATTTTCCATTTTTTCCTGTTCTAATCTTCACATACCTGCTTTGTGTTTTATAGCTCCACGATATCATATTTCATGCTAGTCATATTTCAGGGAGTTAGTACACACCTGTGTTAGTGGCTATCCACTGTGATTCACATGTGAATTCTTTGCAAACTTTCAGAGCAGTACTTTCCCACCAGCAGTAGAATATCTACTATTCAGCCTTATCCAGACTTTCTAGCAAAGTTTGAGAGTGCATGATAAAGGCAGCCCCTCCCCATTTCAATTTTCCAATTTTCTATGCTTTTTTAAGAGTAAGCACATAGGTACTTTGGTTTGTAATTATTGTTTTTTAATCTCCTTTTAAAAACTCTCCCAGGTACTAGTATTCCATATCCTTTTTAAGTTATGTCATTTGAAATGTATATTTATTTTTTTCCTTGAATTACTTATTGTCAACATGTATTATGCCCTGTGGATACTGTATGGAAGACAGATGAGCCCATTCTGTTCGTAGAATTTACATCCTAGGAAGAAATTAATTTGTAATCTTCAGATGCTAAATATTGAAATTGAGAACAACTTAAATTTTTAAGAAGTGAAGATTGGTTTCATTTTCAAAAACCAGCAAAATTGATTTTTATGGTGACAGTACCCCCCATTCAAATTAGACCTGAACTTGGATAAGAGCTCCTCAGTGAACTGTGGTAATAGACTCAGTAAAGGTTAGTATTCTAACCTTTTCACAAGAAAGGGTCATTTTTATTTTATACTCCTGTGGTTTGGGGATTGGGAAATGAGAGCAAAGAAATTTAAAGTTCAGGTTAGTCTTTTATCTTCATTTTCCCCATTATTTTCCTAAGTGCATTGACGCTCTAGTGTTCCATATCTAAAGGTCTTTGTAAGGTAATGCTGAAAGCTGGCTGATTACTTTACCATAGCCACCAGGCAGAGGTATAACATAGGGAGAGGGTTTACCCTTCTGTAGTGTCCTAGACCTATGGATTTACTGAACTAATTGGCTTCTTAGTCATGGGTTTGTTTTATAACCATTTATTTAGCAATTCTTTTGTTTTTGGGAATTATATACCATGCCTTTAGGACTGTTTTTGCCCTGGAGTAATTGGCAGGGAACTTAGATGCTGTGCCTGGGAGGAATAAACAGACAATAAAGAAAGTTTCAATAAAAGAAAATTTAACAATGAAAATAAACTTTTATTAATTCTGGAAGGCATTACAGAGATTGCTCAAGAGTAAGCACTCCCTGTCCCCCTCAAGGTGGCTTAGTCCTGATGCAGTCTTACTTGCTTCCAATTCTCTAGGCTTTTAGAATCCTGGGCCAGGACTTGAGTCCTGGTCCATCATGTGGCATCTGGCTTTCTCTGCTTAGTGCTTAACTGCTATACTGTGGGGTCAGTCTGAAAATAAACTTTATGAAAAGCTAATTTTGTTTCTTAAGGAGTAGTTTTTAAGAAATCTAAACTAGATGAAGGGATCGAGACATTCAAATTGGATAAAAAGAATTGAGAATGCCCCTCATTTGGTGAATTAATGTATACTCCTTCCCTTATGCAGTGAACGGTTTCGGTAGCAGAGAAACCTCTTGGTTTCTGTTGTTGAATAGTTTGGATTTGTGGGTAAATCATAACATTAAAAGAAAAGATGATACCAGTTATAGTAGGCTAAAAGTGAACTGAGCTGATAGGAAATGTAAAAAGAAGTGGCAACACCACAAGATTGCCTGGAGAAAGCAAAGCAAATAAAAAAATCATAGTGTTTGACTTCTTATTACCACATGATTGACAGGAACCAAGGGCTACAGTTTTACCTAATAGTTTTTTTTTTTTTTCCTGGAGAAGTTTTTGCTATAGTGTATGTGTGCTCACCAGAAAGATATAGAGAGACAGACAGACAGCGAGAGATCACCCCTCCCGGGGGGGGGGGCGGGGGCGGTGGCCACACCACAATCCCTTCTTCTCCACTTTCCTCTAGGGATCTTGGGCATGTACGCACATGTGCCTGGCGTGAGTTTAAGCCACCGGGTCCAGGACTTTAACCGCAGTCAACTACATGGGAGTCCAGCAACATAGCCATTATGCTAACTGCTGGTCCCTTACCTAATAGATTTGATGTTAAGATTAAAGTTACAGGGGCAGCAGGTGGCATGGAGGGTTAGGGCACTGGACTCCCACATGGTTGACCATAGTTTGTACACCAGAGGTATGTGTGTGCATGCCTAAAATCCCAAGAGGAGAGTGGAGAAGAAGAGGTGGCCATCCCCTCACAGAGTGATTTCTCGCTTTCACTCTCTCTGGCAAATGCATATACCCTAAAACAAAACTTAAAAATATCTATCTATAAAGAAAGAAAAGAAAAAACTCTAAAAAAACAGACCTACCTCCCTGATTGTCTTGAAAATAGGACTTCCACTTTATTTATTTATTTTTTAAAGAATTATTTTATTTGGGGCCAGCAAGTAGCATTGTCCACATGGCTGACTGTGGTTTGAGTCCCAGACCTGGCAGCTTGCTTTCTTACTTTCATTCTCTCTTTGTCTCTCCCTCTCTTTATCTCTGATAAAACAGGAAAATAATAACAATAAATAAGGTTAAATAAAAATATTTATTTTTATTCACTTATTTAAATTTGACCAGAGAGGGACAGAATGACAGAGTGAGAATGAGAGTGTGAGTGAGAGAGAGAGAGAAAGAGAAAGAGAAAGAGAAAGAGAAAGAGAAAGAGAAAGAGTGAGCGAGAAAGTGAGAAAGCAAGAAAGCAAGACTCCAGGTTTGGGACTTGAACCATGGCCAACCATGTGAGCGTCCAGTGCCCTTAACTACCACACCACCTGCCAACCCTGGAACTTTCGCTTTAAAATTATGCTACCATACTAGAAATTTTATAGAATGATAATGTACAGTATGAAAAGTGCTGTACCATCATCAATGGGATCTAATTCCACTACTGTAATTATTCACATTTACAGAAAGATCTGAGACCTGTGATAATTAGTATCCTGTTTATCATGTGTTTAGAGAGTTCATATTGTAATTTGAAAGATTTGCAAATGATCAAAATGTGTGTCCTTACTATCTTTCTACTTTTCAAAAAATATTTGAATGTATTTTGAAATAAAATGACATTTTTAAAAAGTACTTTGAAAATAAATGTTATTAGTTAGACCTATGATTTCTGGAGTAATCTCACAACTCTTTTTTTGTGTTTAAACCTACATTCCTTGTTTTTTGTTGACTTTTAGGCCCATAGGAGTCTTTGGCTCTTCTGGTCCAAGTGGAACACGTCATATCTGGGTTGATCTAAACCTTTTCTCTTTTCTCCGCCTTCTTACTCAGCTGAGAAGGCTTCAGATCAACTTTAATGCCTCTCAGTGTCCATCATATTCAATCACTTGTCAAACCCTGTCATTGTAAGTGCAGCAGTGTTACAAGCAAGGAAACAGGCAAGACAAGGTTAAAAAAACTTGCCAAATTGGTAGAGCTAATAATCAACAAAGATGGGATTTGAACTCAGATTAGATTTAATCTCTTCTGCAAGTATTTTCCTCTTTACTAACTTGATGATGATATTATCCTTGGGAGAATTTTATGTGTGGATCAGCATTTTTAAGATTTAAAATGGATATTAATGAAATTAGAAGATTGAATTAAAATTAAATGTGGCAGATTCTAAGATGCAATTTATAGAAAGTGTAAGCTGCAGATTTTTTTTAATGATTCATTTTGTTGTATCTCTTTGAGCAATAAACCTCTTGCCATGTGGTTATAGAAAGATTGTTAATTTGAA